TAAGTATTTGAACACCCTGCAACTTTGCAAGTTCTCCCACTTAGAAATCATGGAGGGTCTGAAATTTTCATCTTAGGTGCATGTCCACTGTGAGAGATAATTAAAAAAAAAAAATCTGGAAATCACAATGTATGATGTTTTAATAATTTATTTGTGTGTTACTGCTACAAATAAGTATTTGAACAGCTGCCAATCAGCAACAGTTCTGGTCCTCAAAGACCTGTTAGTCCTCCTCTATAACGTCCTCCTCCACTCCACTTATTATTCTAAATTAGAAGCAGCTGTTTGAGGTCGGTAGCTGCATAAAGACACCGGTCCACCCCACACAATCAGTAATACTCCAACTACTAACATGGCTAAGACCAAAGAGCTGTCCAAAGACACCAGAGACAAAATTGTAGACCTCCACAAGGCTGGAAAGGGCTACGAGGCAACTGCCAAGCAGCTTGGTGAAAAAAGATCCACTGTTGGAGCAATTATTAGAAAATGGAAGAAGCTAAACACGACTGTCAATCTCCCTCGGACTGGGGCTCCATGCAAGATCTCACCTCGTGGAGTATCAATGATCCTAAGAAAGGTGAGGAATCAGCCCAGAACTACACGGGAGGAGCTGGTCCATGACCTGAAGAGAGCTGGCACCACTGTTTCCATGGTTACTGTGGTTTATACACTGAGACGTCATAGTTTATAATCATGCATGGCACGGAAGGTTCCCCTGCTTAAATCAGAACACGTCCAGGCCCGTCTTAAGTTTGTCCATGACCATTTGGATGATCCAGAGGAGTCATGGGAGAAAGTTCTGTGGTCACATGAGACCAAAATAGAACTTTCTGGTTTTAATTCCACTCGCCGTGTTTGGAGGACGAAGAATGATGAGCACCATCCCAAAAACACCATCCCTACTGTGAAGCATGGGGGTGGAAGCATCATGCTCTGGGGGTGTTTTTCTGCACATGGGACAGGACGACTGCACTGTATCAAGGAGAGGATGACCGGGGCCATGTGTTGAGAGATTTTGTGGAACAACCTCCTCCCCTCAGTTAGAGCATTGAAGATGGGTCGTGACTGGGTCTTCCAACATGACAATGACCCGAAGCTCACAGCCAGGAGAACCAAGGAGTGGCTCCGTAAGAAGCAGATCAAGGTTCTGGAGTGGACCAGCCAGTCTCCAGACCTAAACCCTATAGAAATAATTTGGAGGGAGCTCAAACTCTGTTTCTCAGTGACAGCCCAGAAACCTGCTGATCTAGAGAAGATGTGTGTGGAGGAATGGATCAACATCTCTGCTGCAGTGAACCTGGTGAAGAACTACAGGAAACCTTTGACCTCTGTAACTGCAAACAAAGATACTGTACCAAATATTAACATTGATGTTCACAGGTGTTCAAATACTTATTTGCAGCAGTAACACACAAATAAATTATTAAAACATCATACATTGTGATTTCCTGATTTTTTTTTTTTTAATTATCTCTCACAGTGGACATGCACCTAAGATGAAAATTTCAGACCCTCCATGATTTGTAAGTGGGAGAACTTGCAAAGTCGCAGAATGTTCAAATACTTATTTTCCTCACTGTATATATATGCATATATGTATATATATACACATATATATATATATATATATATATATGCATATATATGCATATATATATACATATATAT